GCAGCTAAAAGAAACTCCTGTGCGTTTGTAATTGAATGGCAGCATATGGTTTTTGTTTGCAGACAGGACACAGCTGGGAAGCAGTATCACCTGTGGAAATGCTGCATGAGGGATGTGTGTATTTTTAAAGGAACGATTTTAGTGCCAAAACATAACCTTCAGCAAGTAACGTAAATTCAGATGATTGTACACAAATATCTGGGGTTTTTTTAGTTCTAAGCTCAGCTGTGATAGTAAACACGATGCTGCAGTATGCTGGTAACTTGTTTGCTGCCACACGTTTGAAGTGCGATTCCTCGTTTCCTCACCTCCTCTCCTTTCCATGTCCATGGCTTTTGCTGGTGATATCACTTTCCATTGTGTCTGCAAAATAACCTTAGGGTGGATTTTTTCTCCTAATTCCTCCAGCCTTCTATTTCTGACCAGATATGTAAAATTAGGCGTTAGTGTAGCTACGGGGAAAGTCATTCTGCATTTAATAGTATGATGCCTGGAAGGACATAGGGTTACCTTCTGTCTGAAGGTTTATTTTAGTCACTGCAATTGCTGCTACTCTATTTCCACAAATTTCCCCATGCACATAGTTGAAGAGCTGGGTTACGGGTTTATTTCTCCTGCCAAAGCTGTTTGTAGGTTTTGACCTGATTTTTTTTTAGTCTCCTTTCACACGGGTTTTAAGGAGAGGGCATTAATACACTGATTAGAAAGCCTGTTCATTTTATGAATGGAGAATTCTGGAGTTCATGCAGTATGAGTGAAGCTGGTGGGACAGAGTGTGTGAGGAAACCTGTCTGTCACCCAACAAGGCAGGGTGAGAGTAAGTTACTGCAGATCTGAACTTTGTAGGAAGTTACCCAGGAAAAACACCAAGCAAGAAAATATAAGTAATTAAAAAACCCCCTCAAGTCATTGTTTCTTTCCATTTTCAGACTTTCTACTACAGGTGAAAAAGAAAAAAAAAAAAACAAAAACCAAAAACCAAAAAAACAACACCAAACTAAAAAAGGCCTTTTTTCGAATAATTGTAACAGAAAAGCAAGGATGCTGGTGGTGGGTAATACAATGCAGTAGTGTCATGTACCACTGATTAGAAGAGGGGAATATTCCAGCTCAGTAATTCCCTTGACACTAGGGGAGAACAATAAACTTGTGAAAGAAGTTGCTATTTTAGTTCTCTTTGCATGAAGTTTATGGCTCCAGCAGGAATCTGTATATGGCTGGTTGGTCTTCTCTCCAGTCCCTCACTTGCTGTTTCCCCGTCTTTATTGTACAGTTCAGAGCAGGAGCACTTTGGTTCCTGAAACTCAATCCTCCCGATACTTCTAAGCACTTCATAAATTAACATTTTGTAAAACCAGGGTGTGGGGGAGCGCCCTTGAGGACACTGTGCTTTGCTGAATGAGAAGTGATGTGGTTTTGGAAGCTTGATTTTATTTTCATAGTGCAGCTGTGTAGAAGGAAGCGATGCAGCCCGGCGAGGGGGGTGGATGCGTGCTCCCTGAAAATCCCTGGATTTCTTTAAACTCTTTGACTGCTCGTGGGTTGTTTGTCTAAAGGGCGAGGATCTGAGGATTGGCTATAATGCAGGTTGTCCTGCTGTGGGTATATTTATTGGTGGCAACGTTACAGTACAAAATAAAGTGTGTTTATGGCTTACTCTCTTAGAGAAAACTGGCATAAATAGTGCTTCTCTAATTTCTATGGGATGTATGTAGTTTGGACTACCTGGTGAAGTGCTACTCCAGAGCCTTGAAGTCACCCAATTTAGTCCTTTGAAGGGCTGAAGGCCTTGCAAACCAGTATTACAGAGTGGGCTTGTATGAATTAAAATCTGTTACATTAAAAAAAAAAAAAATCAAACACAAAAACCCCTCCTTTGCCTTTCAGCCTGGCAGTGCTGTGATGTGGCCCTCCTTAGAGCTGGAAAGCCATCCTGCTTTCTCTGCATTTCTGCTTATCTATTCGAATGCTTTCCACGCGATCTGTAACTTCATCAGATTCTTCATGTGTTTTTTGGCTGTTCTTTCCTACCCGCAACCACAAGCTCTTCATGGCTGAGATTGTTTTTTGTACAGCTGGGAGTGCATGGTTAAAGCTCTGCAAATACAGATCATTGTTTCTGAAATCGAATGCTAAAGGGAACAAATAAAAAGTCAAGGGCAGAGGTTCAGGTAGGATTCAGCAAAGCTTAAACTTGAAGTACATATAAAACTGAAGTTTACCTAGAAAACCATTAAAACTGAACTTGAAAAGCTTGAAAAAAATCACACACTGAAAACTGCAGTGTCTTTAGTGCCTAAGGGAGAGGGAAAGGGGTAGACAGCCTTTCCCAGACATACCACGTGGATTAAATGCCCCTTGTCCTCCTGCCTGTTGCAGCTCTGGTCGGTTGGTGAAGTCAAGAGTGGTCGTTCTTGTTTCTGTCCATACTGTAGCGCTCCTTTCTGATTTTAAGAAAAAAAAAAAATCCCAGAACAGACTACTCTGAGGCTAAGGTCTTGAGAGTAGCATGAAGTTTTCTTTCTTACATTCTCCTTGTGTGGTTCGCGGAGCGGTGAGGAGCGGATGCTGGGAAGCATGGAGAAGCTGGGCAGTGAAACCGGTGTGTGACGTAAGCCTACTGCCAACAAGAGCAAGCCCGAACGGGGCGTGATGGGCAAATGGCAAAGCCGTGCTGGCAGCTCCTGGCATAGTGGCGTTCAGAGACCTTCAGTGTCACTGCTTGTGCGCCGGCTGCGGTGAGCTGGAGGACCGTCGGCCTGGCTTTCAGATTTCTCCTCAAGATACATACTTTGCCTGGGATGCCTAGAAGAAATAGGCCCACTAATTTAAGTTAAATTAAATGATGGCTGGAAGTAGTGGATGAAGAGGTTTATTGCTTAGGCACTTGCTGTTCGTATCCCTTCCCATTGCCTGTGCTTGTTTGTAAACTTTTCAGGGCAGAAACTTTGTTTACATTGACATTTTTACAGCACGTAACCAGTGGAGCCCTAATCCTGGCTGAGGTTTTGGGAACCACAGTAAAGCAAATAAATGCTTTTTTTTTTTCTTGTTTTCCATGTTGGATATTACCATAGCCAGAGAACTCAAGCATAGTCGTTTGTCGTCTTCCATGTCATCTTGTGGAAAATAACACTGAAGTTCTCTAGAAGAAACTGTAATACCCCTCACTGTGTTAATTCTTTAATGCTCAACAGAGCAGAAAGGTATCCTTCCCGTTTTGAGAAGATTTCAGTAGCTTTCCGTTTTACTGACCTGTGCAGATCTTTATAATATCTAAAATCACTGTTGCTTTTAAGAGCTTGAACCTGGACCTTTACGTCCTACTTTCAGATTTGCGAACACAAGGGATTTTACTGTGTTATCCTAAGGGGAAAAAACCTAATACAATTCCAGAAATTCAAAAGATTCAGCTATTTGCAAGAAGTAAGATGAATGGTTTTAATACAATCTGCTGGCTGCCATGAGGGTGCCCATAGTAATGCTTCTTGTGGTGGGTGGCAGCTGGGCAAGGGAGGTGGGATTTATATTTGCCTGTTCTGGTTAGTTTGGCTTTCAAGTTCCTGTGCACTCCAGATCCTGATCTCGCGGCAGGGCCAGGGATTGTCACTGCTGTCTGCGATACCTGGTAGAGCAAATGCTACCTGCCCAAAAAGATAGAAATTGTTTTCTGGGGCTCAAAGCAGGCATCAGCTTGAAGGAATTGCTCTTATAATATAAGGGAAAACACAGTTTAGCCTTTATTTATCTTCTTTTTTTTTCCCCCTTATTTTTACACTTACTTAGTAAGTTGGTCTACTTTATTAGGGTCCTTATGAATCTTGGTTTGATTATGACCAGTATGGTCTGTCTTTTGTTTTCCCTTTTCTTACTGTATTGTTTTTTTTTCTTTTAAAGCTTTTCAGGGGCTGCTACCTCCCTACCCATTGCTTGAAGAAGTTCACTTGTCTAGAAACCTAAATTTAGTCTTTTGCTGACGCAGAGTAGTCATTCATGCTTATCTGTCACTCAGGTTTTCTCATATGTTTTTGCCAAAGCACTTCCTAACAAGATAAAATAAAATAGCTTCCAAACCTGTCTGTCTCCTTGCAAAATAAGTTTGCATCCTTTGAAAAATTGGACTGACATGTGTATTATGAAATGAGAAATCATTTTAAGTTCTGATGAAAGGGCCAACTAGTAAGAGAAGGGGGGGGGGGAATTTCCTGGAGGAAGTATTTCCAGGGTTTTTGTTTTCTTGTTTGACAAAAAACAAACAGTAAAAATTAGTTGTGAGTTTGAACTCACAGGCCTCCCCTTTTTTCCTTGACAAGAAGAATCAGTATTCTCCCTTCCTTACACATCAAGTGTTCACTTCTTTTGTACTCTGTGACTTGTGGCACTTTCCTTACAGCCCAAACCAACTCTGCCACAGAAGGAGGTTGCCCACGGGGAGTTTTTAATGCTGACTTGTCCTTCCCTGATCTGTACATGCCTTTCTCCTCGTTCGTGTTTCTCCGCTATCTGGCATCTGCCAGGAAGGTGATGGAGCAGGACAAAGCAGTCTGTGCTTCTGTCGGATGGCAGAGATGTGAGGATGCCATCTCGCTTGATTCCTTGAGTATCGGGAACCCAGATGCTCTGTTCAGGGCATGCGCTGCTGCTGCTGCTGTTTTGTACAGATCTGCGATACCTCCAGTGCAGCATGTTTGAGCTGGGCAGCAGGGGAAAGCTCTCTTCGCTGATTTCCGCAGTGGTCTTAAAAGTAACCTGCTTACTAATACTCGCCTGGTCTGCTCTTTGAAAAAGGACTGGTGGAAAAACTTCATCAAAGGAGCTTGGGCAGTGTTTGCACCGTGGGTTTTTTCAGCTAAAATGTCTTGAGTGTATCAAGTGCGATGTGTAACGTAGCAGCTTCTGTCTTGGGGTAAACCCGTCACAGTAGACCTTGGGATGAAGTGCATGAGCTGTGCTTTCTCCTGTTGATAGAGGTGTGGTGGGTGTTGGTGGCAGGTGCTAGAATGGCATCTCGTACAAAAATTGTGACAGCAGCTGATCAGTCCTATGGCATTGCAACCCAAAGGTCAAGTAAAGAAGCACTGGTTGTGGTGTAACACAGGTCCCTCCATGGCTTTGCTGAAGGGTAGGCTAAAGCACCAATGAGGCAGTCAATAAGAAATGGGACAAAAGGGGTAGCTTAGATACCAGATTCCTCCTGTCAACACCTCTTAGCTTCTCAAACCTACATCAGAGAGGGGAAAACGTAACAGTCTAGATCCTCCTACTGCTTTTCGGGATTAGGTGCATGCCCCAGGCTTGCACTTAGGGCCTTCTTCCTGATGTCATGATGCTTTGGGTGGGACACTTTAGAAAGTGTTGGCTGGATGACTGGGTGGAGCAAACAAGGTGGAGCAGGAGGGATGAGGCAAACAGCCGTGGTTGAAATCCAGGTGTGACCTCCCTGAGTGTACGCTTGTTCCTTTTGCTTTTTGAGTGGACGTAGATGTTAATTTGCTTTCAGATCACAGAAGCTATTGTGTGTGATGGCAAGAGTGACAATAACATACCTGTGAACCGTGATAGGGGAGAAGTAAAGCTGTTAAATGACAAAGGAGGGAGGAATATGTTTGAATATGTTAGAATAACTTCTTTTCCTCAGAGCAAACTCCCGACAAACTGAAATAGGTGATAAAAATTAAGAAACCTTAATATTTCGGGACAGAGAGAAACTGGAGGGCTAGAATATACTTATGACCTGTGGTGTCTTGGGCAAACACAAATCTGTCGGGTTCTGTTTTCCTGGATTTTTCGTGTGACATCCTTTAACTTGCACCCTATCCTATAGAAGGCCAGTAGTAATATTGCTAGTGTAGAATGATGGCTGAATTGTGGGGATAACGAGTAACCTTAACAGGTGCTGTAAATGCAAAAGTAGAGATTCTTTGTCTTTGAAGGTGTTTCACACTGTATCTTAAAAAAGAAGAAAAGTTGTTCAGTTACTTGTCATGGCTTGAAAAGATGTGGTGAGAAAATGATGCTTTATATTGACTCTCTTTAAACATTATTACCTGAGACACAACTGTTCTGGTTCTGTGCTGTATTATTGTTTTAAAAGTCATATCCAAATACTACCAAATTGCTGTGTTAGTCTCCAGGTCGTAGTTTCGCTTCCTGAGAGAACTGGTCCATTGCAATGAGACTTTGTAAGAATTCAAATGTGAAGTGGGCTTAAGAGGGAGTTTTTCCAACCACAGTTTAATTTCCATAAGATACAATAAACACTCTCAGCTGGATAATGTTTTGGTACCCCTGTTCAAGATTCCCAGGCTCAGAATAGTAGAGAGGATAAGGTAAGCTGAGATTGGCAGAGCTTGTGCCTTTTTTGGTTTTGTTTCTTTTCTTTTGGAGCCCTCAGTAGGACTGGAGAGCAGAAGCGTGCTGTAGGGCAGGAGTGAGGATTGCTTGCAGAGCTGTTTTGGGAGATCACCTGCCCAAATGGTAGCTACTGCTGCTAGTTCCCTATTTTCAGGAGTAAGTCAATCTTTGCAAGAGTTGAAAATACAAGGAGAACTGTCGCGCTTGACCATTTTGAGGCATTCTTGCTGTTGGAAGGGGAAACTTGAGGCTGAAAATAAATACGAATTTGACTAGATTTAGAAGTATTGCAAATAATTCCTCCGTCCCCTGGCTGCTGTGGAGGAGCTTTTGCAGAAGGACTGTGTTTTGGTGAGCGAGCTTGGCAGGTAGCTGAGGTGTTTTAAAGCAGCCGGTACAAAAACGCTTCCTTGTAAAATAAGGAGAGCGTGTGAGGGAGCAAGGATAGCTGGAATCAGCTAAGAAAGCTTAGGCTGTGGTTTAATTTCTGTCTTACTAAAGGCAAACTGTGGGATTTGGAAGGGAACAACGTATGAACAAGATCCTGTGTTTTTGTGTGAAGAGCAGAACAGTATTTCATCCCTTTTTCAAAAAAGGGTTTGAAGTATTTGCAGAGCATTACCAGTACTGTAGACACGAGCAACAACACAAATTCCATTTTTAATTGTTTTGCATTCCTTCATTTTAGGATCTTGGACTGCTTAATACACACATTAAATGGAAACTTACAGTTTTCATTTAGGGTGACTATTTTCTACTGCAGTGGACAAAGTAATGCAAGTGAAATTCTGGGTCAACTGATTCAAAGCTCAATACAAAGAACTTTCACCAGGTTATGTAGAAATTACAGGGGCAGACCTGAAAGAGGAAATTTTCTTGATTAAAGCCACTTTGGTAGGACCAATAATGATAGTTTTTGACTATGAAAAATGTTGATGCGGAATTGTAAGCGTCCTCTATTCTGGAAGTTTTCCCTCAGTTTTGCAAGGACCATTTTGGATAGTTTAATTTTTAAATAGTTTTGAAATATTTCTTGAACAAACAGTCCAGTGGGAGGGGAAGAATAAAGGCACCAAACTAACTTGGGCCAGGTGGTATTTTCCAGCGTAATTGGCCTTCTCCAGCAGTGGAGAGAACTACAAATCTTTACAGACATTTGTTGGGGGGGATTGGGAGAATGCATGGACAGCTGCCAATGAAGGGTTGATAATTGTCATAAAAAGCAGATGTGATGTGAAAGTTGCTAGGAGGAAAGATGAGCTGAGATGGAAGTGGAGAGGAAATGAGTTTCGCTCGGGACATCCTCAGTGCCAGCACTGCCGACGGTTCAGATGTGTGCTTCGCTCTACAAAGCATTTTAGAGTTGTCTTTGCTTAATGTGAGCATAAATAAAAAAAAGTGACAGATACGTTTTGGTCTGAAAGAGAGAAAAAAGAAAATTGTTGTGTAAAAGTGACTACTGAAAAAAATAATGTAGGGACGCTAGTACAGCTTTGGAAGTTTAACATTCTGCAGCGAATGAAGAATTACTTAAAATTTTACAGAACATGGCTTAAATTTGTCTTTTCTTTTTTGTTTCAGTGTTCCGAGGTCATGAAACTTAATCCACAGCAAGCTCCATTATATGTGAGTACAAAATTTAAATTTTTTTTCCCTTTCTTGCTATTCAAACAAAATGCTTCCCTCCACCCTTTTTGGAGATGCTGCTCCTTTTTTCTGTGCTCCCCAAAGACCTTATTTGTGTTTGTCGAATTGCAAACGCTCAGTGGTAACACTCAGGTAAGTCACAGAGCTCCTCTGTCTTTCCAATGGACAATTTTAAAGAAGTTTTGAGACACCTTGTAATGCTGTCAGCGTGCAGGCATCCCCCTGCTTTTATTTTTTTGCTCCCAAAAGCGTGCTGGAGCGTGTGGCTGTGCTCTTGCGACTTTATGTGTTGAGAGGCTGTAAGAAGAAATTGCTTGTGTGGAAAACAGGGCATCCCGGTGTGCGGTGCTTGCCCACTGTAATAATATTTTTTCTGGTCAGAGTTTTAAACGTGGCAGAGAGGAACTGGAAGCAGTGAACGGCTCAGCTGTGCTGGGACTGCTGCAGCGGGGAATGGTTTACGTCAGCCTCCTGGAAGCTCGTAACTCGATGGCTACGTTAATAAGGAACAAGCTTCCTCTCGCTCTTGAATAGCAGCTTTGTTGCAGAACATGGGGATTGTCAAATTAGACCTGGATTCGCGGGGGTGTACGCACGTGTGTTATATTTGTGCCAAAACTGGCAGCCAGGTTTGTAACCGTTTGTTTTCCACCCAGCCTGGCCGTGCTGGGAGCAGGGTCAGCTGGTGAAGTCGTCCTGTGCTTGTGGTCCTACCCACAGACCTGGCTAACAAGGGTGGAGCTGGACGCAAGGATGGAAAATATGGAGGGAAAATTGCTTGCAAATGTGGCTTTTAAGGGGAAGGAAGGAGAAACTATTAGAGGTGGTGATAGACCTGTATCTTGGAAAGTGGTGTGTGCTGTAAATAACGGATTGTATTGACCTTTAATGCCATGGAAGCTTTTAAATTTTGCCTACTTGTAATTACCAGCTGGAAGTTTGTATTGGAATTTATGCTTTACTTACTGTGCTAAGTCTTGTGCTTGAAGCAAGACTAAAACACTACCTAGTGTGACCTGACTTTGGGAGAATGGCTTTTCTGGAGTACACCACCATGTTCCGTATTACTGCAAAACTAAATTTTGCCTGAAATTTGTTATATCACAAGCGTACAGAATGCACCTTGGCTTTGAAGAAACTTAATTTAAACTTAGGACACATTAAAAGAGAACGAAACTTATGTGCAAATATATGATGTAGATGCTACAGTAGAAACACATGAATAGTAGAAAGCAAGATAAAGTTATCCTTAAGTCTTTTGAGCAGTGGATGACTTAACTAATCTGGAGGCTTTGTTTTACCGGTCTTATCTTCTGACTTAGTTTGTTTTCCCACCATTTTGTGTGGGTTTGTATTTAATGTGTAATGCTGGAGTGGTATACTTTAAAAGTCCTCATCCCCACGTGATAGTGAGGAGGACTGGGCTGAGGTCAAATGTAGCCCGGTGTGAAATAGTGTTTATATGGCACTCGGTATAGTGTTTCTTTGCAATCCAAACAAGTTGCTGACAACATTATTAATACATCAGGGACTCCCTTTTCTCTCTTCCTCCTCCTCCTATGGCCAGGTGTATAAGCAAATCAGCTCACTTTCAAAACAAGCAAATTTTGGTAGCTTAAGGAAGAGGTGGGAGACAGAACAAAGAAACTCAAGGACTTTGAAAATTCAGTATTTAGTCTTCCTGTTTGCTCTCAGTATAAATGCTTTGATGTTTTAAGATCAGTTTTGTTTTCCACATGTTATTAATTGACAGCTCAGCTCCAGTTGCTAGGTGTGAGCAGTACACGAAGAAAAATGTATCTTCCTGGTATTTTTATTTTTCAAAAGGCAGACACAACAGTCTTGCGGCGTGGCCGTTGCTAGGTGAATTTCAAACCTCACCAGGTTCCTGCTTCGGAGTGATGTCAGCTCCGTTTTCCATGTACGGGCTCCTTGAGCTTGTGTTCAAATTACTGAGAACAGTATCCTGTGAATTTCTCTATATGGAATTTCATCTCTGTGGAATAAACAACTGGAAATAATAGACAATACAGACATGTCAGGGGATCTCCCCACATTTGTCTACTCTCAGGAAGAATTGCTTCCCCCTGAATTCACCCTTTTGTTCTTGACATCTTTGCATTGCATGCTTTACACTCTTCCTCTTCTAAGCCAATAGTTTAGATTCAAGATTAATTTGGCTTATTGATTTTTTTAAATGCATTTTCATCCTGAAAGCTCTGTTTGGTAGTTGTTTTTATCATCATCAGTGTTACTGAGCTCGTTTTAGGAGGAGAAAGTAAAAAACGGTGTCTCCAGTTCCTGGGAGCCAATTAGAGAGCTAGAGCACGTTTCATCCTATCTGATAATTACCAGGTTGTCCACATTAATGCCTTACAATTATGAAAAGTGTTTTGGGAACCTGAGATGTCCGATGTACTTGGGACCAAAGTTTTGTGGGTGATGGAGAAGGTGGTACTACTAAAGATATAGAGATTCCTACATTACTCAAGTCGATGTATGTAAGTAGAAAGACGACCACCAGTTGTATCCCTCCTGGTACCTTCTTTGGGCTGCTTGGACTTTCATTTACCTCGTCTGTAAAAATTGCCTGTCCTGCCTCTGCAGAGCTTGGGACCACTGGGAGGTCACAGCCTGTAATGGTGAGACTACGGGGCCTTTGTAAGTGTAAAGATTAGGAGATAAGGTGGAAAACACATCCTGTAGTAATAATGAGTGTCGTGTTTTTGTGATTAAAGAAGTCTGGCCCATGTAAGCATTGTCTGATTGTTTGCTGGTCAGTGAGGTTGCCAGGAAGCTGAGCTGAGTGCTATATTGCTGCAGGTTTGGGCTGGGGCACGAGCTGTGCCTTTCCTCTGCAGACAGACAGCTTCTGGCTTGTTCAGCTGCTCTTCCCAGGAGCATTGTATCACTTGCCCAGAGCGGGTCGTTACTGGCCCTTAATGCTCCTTAACGGGCTCTCCCGGCTCCGGAGCCTGACGCTGCTCACAGCAGCATGGTCATGGGGCAGAGGAGCTCATGCCAGGAGAGATAGCGCAGCAAAGTGTTCCTCAATATAGCACACAGAAGGTTCACCACAGTGCGATACCATTAATGCTCGTGCTTCAACGGGCTGTAGGTCAAGCAGCTGTCCCATCTGCACCACTGTCAACACCTAATTGACTTTATAAAAGGCAACGTTACTTTGCAGAGTCTGTGGCTTAATACTGTGGTGTAAATTTAAAATAAAGATGTTCAAACGCGCTTCCTCCTTCCTCAGGTGTCTCGACGGGGTACTGACATGAGCAGCTGTCTTGCTGCCAGCAGTGATGATCTGAAGTGAGGTAGTAGAGTGGGAAAGTCCTTGACAGTCTTCTGCGGTTCGCACAACTGTGATGATGAAGGTTCAAGTTCTCCCTGTTACAGCAGTGGCCTTAAACTTTGTGATACAAGCTTGGCTTCAATGCAGAGGTGGTCTCCAGAGCCATAATCAGCATAGCATGGGGAGGGTTTTAACAGAGAATGAGCTTTATTTCTTAGCTTTTTCACTAGCACGGGTTGAGGATACAAAAAGCAACCGTCATTTGGCTGGACTGAGTGTATCTGATCTCTGTTGCTGCTGTTCTCGTGGGTTGTTTTGTTTCCAGTGTGTAATTATATGGGTCATGCTTTACGTAGTCTTTAGTGCCACTATGGACATTCTGTGGAAAAGGGATATTCTGCAATACAAAGTCCTCACTATACATTGATTTCTTCAGGTGCCTTTTACTTCAGGATGTGCAAAAAACAGAAGTCCCTGTGGCTGGACAGTCCTTTGGTTGCCTGCCTCGGACTGTAGTCAGGAACATCTCTGTTGATGCACAGATGCCAGATTAAATCTGAAACTGGCTTTACCTACATCCATTTTGTATTTCAGTGCTGTCCCGTCAACATGGGAACTCTGTTGAGCACAGCATGGTGGATGAAGGACAGCATTTCAGACCTTATTTCTGATCTGCCTGGGGCTGTGTGCTCAGGAAGCCCAGGGTCTCACATCTGAAGGACTGCATCGTTCTGCTTGCCGGCAGGGCTCAGGTGGAATGAGGGGGGGATGGTTTGCAGGGGGCTGTGGCTGATGGGAGGTGGGAAGTTAGGAGCTTCAGCTTTGCTTGGTTTTGTTAAATACTTGCAATGACCTCACTGATCATCACCTTTTTATAAAAGTTGTATCTCTCTAACAATAAAAGTTGAAATTTCAACTGGAGTATTGTAAAGTACTTCATAGCTGTGGTCAATATGTTATTGAAATATCCAGATCATCAAGGAGTATGCAGATAGGGGAAAAAAAGGATTAACGTTGCTCTAAACAATGGAGGTTTATTAAGTGACTTTTTTATTGTTGTGATTCATTAAATTCTCATTTTATAAGTGAAATAATTTAAATTAGTCACTTAGCTTTAACTAAACTATTGCTGACATCCAGGCAAGAGAAAGAAAATGAGAAAGAGCTGTGTAAAGGTGAAGTGCTGCTGTTTA